GGCCGAGTACAGACAGCCGGGTGGGCTGTAGGGGGTGGGTATCCGCGAGGGCCTGGGAAGCGCTGGCGACCGAGAGCAGCCAGCCACCTGTGGAGAGTCTATTGGTGAACCCCTCTCCCACACCCCTCGGAGAAAGTAAGGCCCGGAAAGCGTGTTGAAATGCTTCTTTCCTGCGGATAGACGCGTCCAAGGTAAGTCGTTTCTGTTTTGAGAGCCGCGTTCTTCGTTTGATCATCACCCGCTGCTGCTGCTGGTTTTCAGTGGAGGCGACGCATTGTTAAGGAGGTTGGGTGATGACGGGGTTCATAGGGGAGCTGATTTGTTGGTTTCTTCAGAAAATAGATGAGTAAATGGTTCTGAGTATTATTAGCTATTGTTTTCTTTCAACGCAGCCGGTGGCTTTGCGTCCTTGAGTCTTACTGGAGGACCTCGCAGGCCTGCCGCAGCAGTTGTTAAGGACAGGGCATTCTGTATAAAATGGAACTTATTCTGGACTGTCATCTTGACTCGAGGGTGTTAGTTGCAGCTTAGACTGCGGCCTAGATATGTTCCTTGTTACAAACGGGTGATGGTTGAGAACTTACCTGTGAAAATAACTATGGCGAGAGGGTTCTGAGTTCTCTGTACTTGTTGTAGGTGCTCAGGCAGTGTCTTCCGTTTTTCCAACCAAAACATTCATCTCTTCCCTATCATTCCCTCCCATCCTTTCACTTCATCTCCCCATTGATGTTTTCTTCCCATTGATATTTCAGCTTGGGGAGAGGGGCAGGCAGCAATTCTTAAATTATGACAAAGTGTTCATAGGTCATTCCGGAGAATTTTAAACAAGCCGGCCATGTTATTAAAGCCAAGAAGGATAATTCTTTCTAATGATGTTCTACTGTGATTTCTATTGATTGTTTTTAGTGAGGTGGTCTCTTAAAAATCCTCTGTATTTCACACTGGAGAGTTGCCCGTCCGGAGCAGTCTCCGCGAGGCTTGCCGCGTAATGGATCACCCTGTCTGGGTGAATCTCTCTGCACGCCCTTCACAGTGCCCTCTGGCTGCTGATTCTCCTACCGGAGCACCAGCCTTGTGATGGAGGAAAACTGATTAACATTTAGAGAGTTCATTAGGGTAGTGCCTGCAGCCCTGAATGTAACAGGATTTAGTTCCTTCACTAGCAGCACTTCAGGGTTCCCTAAGACACTCAAGAAAGAAAGAAATCTTCCAAAAGGAGGCTTTCAGAGTCACTAAATGGATTTTGGTTCCTTCCCTCTAGCCTAAAATGCATTTCTTTTAGGGAAGAACATTATAGGAGCCAGGTGTTGAATGGGTATATACAGTTACAGTCCGTCAACCCCCAGCTTGGTCCAGTGGATGACATGCTGCTTTGCTGGAAGTAACTAGTTTCCATGTTGTTAAGCTGACATCTTTCCAAAGAACTAAGCTCATTTCCTTTGAAAAGAAGTCAGCCCCAGCTCTTTAAATGTCACATGTCTCCTTTTATTGAATAGCCATTGGAAACTAACATCTAACAAGTTTAATGCTATCCCTAATTAATGATATTGAGTAAATATTATATCAGGTATTACAGGCTTATGAATGGATAAAATTAATTTTAGATCCTCGAAAATAAAAGCTACACCCAAAACAACTCATTAGTCTTTCAGGTTTAATTATTATTTTTTTTAAAAGGCAGTTTCTTGGGTTCTTTGCAAAGGTGAAAATAGCCCTACGTTAAGCTGCAAATCATCTTTTTAACATAGTGTTGCCTTTCAAGAAAAGAACTGGAAGAAAAACCACCCACAAACCAACACCGAGAAGTAAGCACTTTATTTATTTATTTTTAAATATACTTTATTGATTTTTTACAGAGTGGAAGGGAGAGGGATAGAGAGTTAGAAACATCAATCAGCTGCCTCCTACACACCCCACACTGGGGATGTGCCTGCAACCCAGGTACATGCCCTTGACGGGAATCGAACCTGGGACCTTTCAGTCTGCAGACCGACGCTCTATCCACTGGGCCAAACCAGTTAGGGCGAGAAGTAAGCACTTTAGAAAAAGGTTCTGTGCGTGTATCTGGACCAGATGTAATTTTTAGTTAATTTTAAAATAGGCTCATATTTTCAGAATTGCTTTCTTCCTCGTAATATATTACATTTTAATGGTAGTGAACTCTCCACGTGTACCTTTAGTGGAGACTTACTGTCCAGTGGTTGCAGTGAAGAGGCAAACCAATTCCAAGCCCATGACGAGTTCAGTGAGGATGTTACAGTAATTTATGACAGGGCTACCTAACTTACTCGGATTACATAACTTCTGATCTCTCGTTGCTGTTTGTTTGTTTGTTTGTTTGTTTTTTTGCCAATATAAAGAACTGGACATCCTTATGTGTAGGTGTGTAGTTCTTTGATGATTTCCTTTGGATAAACATTAGTACAATTGCTGAGTCAAAACACATTTTCAAGGCATGTGCCCTGACCAGGATTCCAACCAGCGACCTCTTGGTTCCTGGGTTGACACTCAACCGCTAAGCCACACTGGCCGGGCCATTTTTAAGGCTTTTGTAATCTACCAGCACGTTCATGAAACCATCTCTTAGGGTGGTGACTTCTGTGTGAATGGACCTCATTCATTCGATGTTGACTTTCAGTATGGTCAGGGATTTTACTGTTTTCTGCTTTCTTTCCTCCTATCTCAAAATCTGGGTAGTCGCCAGAACTGGTTTGGCTCAGTGGATAGAGCGTCGGCCTGCGGACTGAAAGGTCCCAGGTTTGATTCCGGTCAAGGGCATGTACCTGGGTTGCGAGCACATCCCCAGTAGGAGGTGTGAAGGAGGCAGCTGATCGATGTTTCTCTCTCATCGATGTTTCTAACTCTCTATCTCTCTCCCTTCCTCTCTGTAAAAAATCAATAAAATATATTTAAAAAAAAAATCTGGGTAGTAGTATCAAAACACAAAATGTCCTCACACAGATTTTATTGTTATTACATAGCAAAACCTATCATTCCTTTTCTACTATTTAAACTTAACATCTCCTTAAGAGAAATAGTAACAGTCTCTCCCTTGTCTAGGCCTTAAGTCTGTTGAGAAAATCCCTTACATTTTCCCTGCCTGATGAGGGGCTCTGGTGCACATGTAGGATTAGGGATGTCCTTCCCCTGCTGAGCAAGCAGTAACATCCGGGTGCGATTAGGAATGTTCTTGGCACCTGAAATAGACGAAGCTGTCATTAGCTCTCGAGGCTAATGGCCTGGATTATATGCTTTAGGTTTTATTTTTATGCCATGATTTTTTTTTGTCATCAAACATACTTATAGAGGCTTTAAAATATATCTTAATGCCACTATGGTATGTTTAAATATATAAGATATTTTCAAAATTCAGTATTCCCCGCCCCCCCCCATTATGGACAGCTGTCACCTAGTATACTCCTGTACTATGCTTTTGCCTACAAGTTTAATCTGTACAGGTTAATGGTTACTTTTGAAGTGTTGGGCATGTGTTAATATATTTGCTAGGGGGACAATGTAGAGAAGATGCAAGACTTATTTCAAATGCTTAAAGAACTTTTGATAAGACAAATATAATGTGCACATATTTTGTATATGGCTCATATAAGTATGCTAAGACTATACATTGATTTCATCCAAAGTATTTCATATCTACAATAAACACTTTTAAAAGCTACGTGGTGTTCGGATGAAAGATTGCTGCTAGAATTTAGCTTCCTGAGGATAGTAGCCATGTCTGTTTTCTTCACTGGTACATCCCAAGTACAGTGTCCCACATGTTACAGATGCTTAATGGACACTTGTTTAATGACTAATTAAGTGAATAAAGAGTATTGTGGGTCATGCCTGGGAGTATAGATTGATGTGGCTTGTTAAATTGTCCCAAATTCAGAGAAGTACTTTGTAAATTGTGAACATGGTTCTATATTAAGATTTGCTGAAACTATATTAGCATAGGTATGTTTTGTTTTGTTTTTTATTGAGTTTAGAGGGAGAGATAGACAGAAACATCGATTTGTTGTTCCACTTATTTATGCATTTGTTGGTTGAGTCTTGTATGTGCTCTGGCCTGCGATTGAACCCGCAACCTAGGGATGATGCTCTAACCATGAGATAGAAGACAGGAACTAGCATCTAAAGGATAATTAGCTGCATCAAAAACTATGCATTTTGCTTTGACTGAATGAATACAGAATTTGCATAATCAAAATCATCTAAGCCTTATGCCAGAAAATTCTATGTAAAGGAGTACTAGTGTTTTTCAAGGAGTGACTACAGAGATAGCAGATGAAAGGGGAAACTACAAAGAAAGCTCCAGAGGTTGGAGTCACAGGGCCTGCCAGTATCTTTTGTGGGTAGAGTCCGTATCATAGTCATGAAAAACCGTGAGTCTGAAACCCAGTTTCCTATCAGTCTGGTGGTGATTATAATAAAGAGTGTATTGGTCTTGACTGTAGTGCCTAAAAATGTCCGTGTGTGTGTAGAAAACAGAGGTCTTATTGAAAATATCAAGCTTTTAAAAATGGTACTTGTTACTTGAAATTCAGAGTTGAGTAAAAATTTGTGTGCATAATTTAAAATTTTTATGTCTCTGATCGCATAAAGCTATATATGTACTAACAGTCTAGCTTTGTTCTGCTATAAACTGGAGAGGAGCCTAATTCACAGGGTAGGGCGGGGTGTGTGTGGGGGGTGGGGGGAATTAAGACAGGCCTATGTGGGTAAAAAGACAAACAGTTAAACCTGTCTATGTAATAAAAACAAGACTTCAGTTCTGGGCAGGAAGACAGAGAGAATGGGAGGAGGAATGTCTTTATAGAAAAAGAAACAAGTAGTAAAAGAGGGAAAAGGCCCAGAAAAATCCAGGTGATAAGAGTTTTTAGGAGACTGGGCGGGTGGGCTTCAGAGAGGCGACAGTGGCTCTCCTGGTCTTTCTGCTGCTCTGTGCAGAGTCTTTGGGTGGTTTTGCTGATTGGAATATCCCAGAGAATTTCCTCTGGACTTTGATGCCAGTGACTAGAGCGCTACCTTAGGGGCGAATTAAATTAACATCTAGGGAGTTCCTCCTTGCTGCTAGAAACCTAGCCTAGGAGAAACACAGTCCTAACTGCCTTTTGGAAGATTGCTGATAAGAGTAAAACCCTTTAAGCCAAGCATGTCAAACTCGTGGCCTGCCGCCTGCCCGCCCTCCCGTCCTTGAAAGGCTTGGGTGTAAGGCTTTTTGACTAGGCTCATTAAGGAGGCTTTCAGTTGTAAATAATAAGAATTTCAGTTCCTACTGGCTTGGTTATTGAATTCTAGAGAAAGCTAGGCGTGGTGAGGACTTATCTAAATAGCTCGACAGCATCACTGGGAGCTCAGCGATGACTGCTCTGCCTTCTAGAAATGCCTTCTTGACTCCAGGGTTGGTCCTTACATGAACACAGCATGGCTAACAGCAACTCCCAATGTTTCCCCACCATTGAACAAGTCTGGCTGGAGCTTAACTCTGGACCAACCTGGACATGCACCGGTCTCTAAACCAGTCATTGCTCCCAGGGGAACTGTGCTGCTTGGGCTGAGTCGGGTGCCCATTGCCGAACACGTGGCGGCGCTGTTGATTGGGTCGGGGCTAAACCTAGAAATGGTTCAGTTGCATCCAGACTGTATGGCTTAAGACATCTGGGATCAATCTTCTTAAGACAGGAAGAGGGCATGGATGCTGGGAGACAAGCAGCAGTGGCCTCCACGCTACTTACACTGCCTTCAAATATCTTGTCCATTTTATTGCTCTCCAACCTCAGCCAGATGCTTATTTGCTTGGGGTGGGGCAGGGCTGTCCTGTGCATTGTAGGGTGTTCAGCCACCTCCTGACACCCACTAGATCAGCCGTGGGCAAACTACGGCCCGTTTGAAATGAATAAAACTAAAAAAAAAAAAGACCGTACCCTTTTATGTAATGATGTTTACTTTGAATTTATATTAGTTCACACAAACACTCCATCCATGCTTTTGTTCCGGCCCTCCGGTCCAGTTTAAGAACCCATTGTGGCCCTCGAGTCAAAAAGTTTGCCCACCCCTGCACTAGATGTCACCCCTTCCCCCAATGTCAACATCCAAAAATGTCTCCAGGCATGGCCAGATGTTACAGGATGGGGGCACATTGTTCCGATTGAGAACCACTGGCCTAGCATAGTGGTCTTTAGACTTTGATCACACAGCCCTATGATTAACATGTTTGTGCATATCCCCATGTATGTTTAATACTCTTATGTATGTATGTATGTATGTATGTATGAAACATGCATAATATATATATATATATATATATATATATATTAGAAAACATGCACAAAATAGAAATTAAAGGTAGAGGTGATAATGGTTAATGTAACGGAACTATTTCTCTCTGTACTACTTCCTTCCTGTATGTCTGTGGACCTCTTAAGGATGTCCCCCACTTTGGATATTAGGTCTAAAGTATTGGTATCTCATCAGGATTAATCTGTTTCCTGATGCCCACACTGTGTCACTGTGTGAGTGGATGCTGAATGTGACTTTGACGGTTGGCCGAGCATCGGCTTCCGGGCCCTGGGCTGGACCCCAAGAAGCCTGCTCCGAGACCTAGGAGGGGGCAGAGTCTGCCGCCTGCACCAGCTGTTCCACCCGGCTTGTGTGTGCAGAGCAGGAAGGTTGTAGCTGTCAACGTTGTGGCATGTGGTGTTGAGAGGCCTTTCCTGTCACCGTCTCTCCCCGTCCCCACCCCTGCCCTGGGGGTCTGGGCTCCATGCATTGAGGGAGCTGGTGAGGCTGAGAGGTCGCTTGCTCCATGGCAGAGGCTTCCTGCAGGTGGGAGGCTGCTGCTGCATTAGCCTAGGCCACCAGGATGAGAAGGACTCCGGTGACTTCCTCCCTAGTGCCAGTCTTGTCGCCTTGTGGCCGGCATGGGCGGATACTAGGGCCCCGGTGGTGGTGGCAAGGAGCATGAGGACCAGAGGAAGGAGAGGACCTAGTGCTGTTTGAAGGGTTGCCAGGCCAAGTAAGGCTGAAAGGTGATTGGGGGAGGGACTACTGGTGGAACCGATATGGGCGTTCCCAGTGTTGGGGCTAAAAGTTACCAGAAAGTCATGGAACCTGCCTGTGATTCATAGGCAGGAAGGGGGCATTCAGTAGAGCACCGCTGAGAAGCAGCGATGGGAGGCTGCTGCCTCTGCCCTTTGTGAACTGGGCCTCCGGAAGAGTCCTCTTAGTGAATTCTGCCAGCGGTGGGTGGGGCTTCATCCAAGCTAGCGACCAAGGTTAGGAGAAAGGCTGACGCTGAAGGGCTTCTTTGTATCAAACAACTGAGAATTGACAGGAACTCTTCCACAAAGAATGTAATTTGTTGTTCTCTTAAGTGCTCTGTAGCCAACATGATGAAATATTTTTAGAAAATTTTGGAAAGCCAGTCTGGAGAAGTCAGCATTTTGGTTCAAATGATTGTCTTGTATGTGTTGGCTCATGAAGAAAGAAAAAAAGTTGAGCTGAAAGATACAGAATTTTGCTATGAAAGGTTTAAGTTTCAGGAAGACTTCTTTGGACATTTCAATTGAATATCAGGTTCTTCTAAGAGTATTATTATACCACAGCTTAACGATTTAGAATATCCTTTGGACATTTTTTCATCTGAGTTTTTTCCTGGTAGGTAAGAAGGGACTTCTGATAGTAACACTGTTTAGAGTGCCTTTCTTTGTCCCCTGGTTAGTGGTCTAGAAGACCGGGCGGGCGGGGCCTGTCACCACCACCACTCTGCCATGGGCACAGTGTGCAACCCATGCCAGTGACTGGTAGTGAGTGTGGCTTGCCATCCTCAAAGAGTCCACCGCCTGGTTGATAGTAGGACATTTGCCTAGTTGGGCAAGCACATCACCCCGAAGGTCATCCTTTGATCAGTGGCATAGGTTTGGATGACATTTGGCCAGATAAAGAGGGCAGCTGACCTGCGGGCAAAGCAGAGGTGGTTGACCTGTGCCACATTCAAACTTGTTGGCTTTCTGATGAAAGAGTTTCTCAGAAGCTGTTTTATGTTGGGTTTTTTGTTTGTTTGTTTTTGGTGACATGGAGTCATGTTATTGAGCATAAATAGGTTTCAGTTATTCCTTTATCTGATTTTATAGCATGTAAATGTTCTAATGTTTTAAAATATACCTTTTAAGCACGTGTTTATGGTAATAGATAAGAGTATTTTGTGTAAATAGACATGGTTAGGAAGGTATTTTTTTAAACACTCCCCATTATATCCTATTTTCTTTAGAGCCAATTATTACAGAACAGCATTCAGTTGGGCTCACAATTTTTCTTGATACAAAAGGACACATTAGAGTTTTGAAGTCCTACTTGTCTGATTAACAGTTTTCCATTTTGAAGAAGAGTGAAACAGCGCACATGAGCTGGCAACGCTGTCTGCACTACCCTCTTCCCACAGTGCTCCCAGAGAGGAAACCTGAGCGCAGGGGGATGAACCAGGCTGTGGACACAGGGTCTGGATTTGGGTTTCAGACTAGATACTGAGCTGCTTTGTGACCTCACTGAGACCTAGGTTCCCCTCTGTATATTTGCCCCCAGTCCCTGAGGGGTAAGTGCTGGCCGGTTCATACATCGAGCCCTTCCTGCCGGCCTCCCGCCCGTTCTGACCGACCCCCTGCCTTGCTTTGTGGTTGATGGGCTTTGGCTCACAGTTCAGAAGACACTGTGTATATAAACGGTTTGTTTTATCGTGACGGTGTATTGTCGTCATGACTTTAAAGCAGGTTTACCTAAATAGCCCAGAATGGCTGTCCCCACCCCAATCTTTTACTCTCTTTTTTTCTGACATTTCGATTCCTTGGGGTGATTTGAGGCTAAAGAGTTCCTACCTTGAAGGATTGTTAGAGGATTGCATGCTTACCATGAGGTAGTCATTTACTCCATGGTAGAAATGCTAGCATTTAAACCGCTAGCTTCCAGCTCGCTCTGTGGGGCTGCAGGCTCTTGATTTTAAAATACTTCACGGGGCTTTACTCCGTTCCTTACTCAGGCACCATGCTAGGTGCTGGGTTCACAGCCAGATTTCCTAACTTAATATTCAGACCTTTTGTTCCTGTCACCACTTTTCCCCTCAGAGATACTGGTGCTGCATCATTTCTAGTGTGCCAGGCACTACTGTCCCCTGGCGAGGTGCTCCTGGGACAGTCACCTGTGATAGCAGGCAGGAGGAAGTCCTGTATTCAAACATGTAGATCCCATAAAAGACACCCTCCTTGAAACTTCAGTTTAATAATTCCTTTGCTTAGCAAATATTGTGTGTGAACTTGGGAGTCCTGCTGCCAGGGAAACAAAGATGAATAGACACAGGCCCTGAGCTTTCATGTTTTCCGAGGGGTAGAACCTGCGTGGCTGGTGGTGCGGGGTGGCTTTCGATGGTACGTGACATTGTTAATTCTCACCAGCCCTTAAGAGCGCAGTTTCATGGGTATTGTTTAAGAAAAGATGGAAGGAGATATTTTAGGATAAGTGAGTTGTCTTGAAGAAAAATACTTAAAATTTTAATACAGGTAATATTTTGGTATGAAATATTGTAAAGGAGTTCCCTGACTCAGACTGTGACTAAGGAAAACAGGATGAATTGATTGGTGGTTAAAAGTAAGCTTTAAAAAAAAAAAAAAGTAAGCTTTAGCCTAACTTTCAATGGAGTCCAAATTAGACTTTATTAAAAGTCCATTGTAGTAGACAATGATTTTCAAATAGGAGCATTGCCTGAAGAACTATTTTGTTTGGCTGAAAAGATGCATTTTCTAGAATATTCATTGCAACAGGGTAGTGAAATTGGAAATGACATTAATGTCTAACAGTAGGAAATTGATTAATATATTTTTTTAAATATATTTTATTGATTTTTTACAGAGAGGAAGGGAGAGAGATAGATAGTTAGAAACATCGATGAGAGAGAAACATCGATCAGCTGCCTCCTGCACATCTCCTACTGGGGATGTGCCCGCAACCCAGGTACATGCCCTTGACCGGAATCGAACCTGGGACCTTTCAGTCCGCAGGCCGACGCTCTATCCACTGAGCCAAACCGGTTTCGGCAATTGATTAATATATTATACATCAATATAGAAGAATAGTATTCAGCCATTACAGATGATGTAAGTGTACGTATATATTGACATTCACAACATCTAGACAACTGGGGATTGAAGAGCCAGTACGGAAAAGCTCTAAAGGATGTGCTGACATAGTAACAATGGTTATCTCATTAGCTGCTGTGATTTCAACTATAATTTGTTTTTTAACTCCCGTATGTTCTAATTATGAAATGAACATAAGTCTCTTTTTTAAAAAAATATTTTTATTGATTTCAGAGAGAGGAAGGGAGAGGGAGAGAGAGATAGAAACATCAATGATGAGAGAGAATCATTGGTTGGCTGCCTCCTGCATGCCCTACACTGGGGATCGAGCCCGCAACCTGGGCATGTGCCCTGACCGGGAATCGAATTGTGACCTCCTGGTTCATAGGCCGACACTCAATCTGGACTCAACCGGCCGGCTCTTTTTTTAAATAAAGAAAATATAAATTTCACATTTTGCTTGTATAGAGAATGGTATGGCTTTTCTGATCTGTTGTGATTTCTTTTTTTACAGGTGCGGGGGCACGGTTGGTGCTATTTTCACTTGTCCACTCGAAGTCATTAAGACAAGACTGCAGTCTTCGAAATTAGCTCTGCGGACAGTCTATTACCCTCAGGTTCACCTGGGGGCCATTGATGGAGCTGGAGTGGTGAGACCAACATCAGTGACACCTGGACTTCTCCAGGTTCTGAAGTAAGTTCAGTCCCCAACCTGGACTCCTGCCACACCCCTGCCCCCAGTGTCAATACCGAATGTTTATTAAGCCTATCAGATGGATCTCCTGTTTGCACAGCCTAATTCCAAACCTAAGAATTAGGTTTCTGTACCAATACCTTTGAACTCTGACCTTGCTCCCTTGGCAGCTGGGCACCCAGTGTGCATGCGGTCACCATCCAGGGACAGTTAAAACAAACCTACAAAGCCAACTAAAATATCATGTTCAAATTGTTGCATCAAAGTGTTCTTGCTCAAAATCTGAGGGCTAGCGGAAGCTATGGCGTGATAGAATGAAATTAAAACTTTTAAATTTCACAAGAGAAAGGTTTTGAATATTTGAAGGGGAAGTAATCTGGAAACAAAATGTTTTAATTTTTTACTTTTTATTTGGAAATACTTGCATACTTATAGAAAAGTTTCAATAGATACTTAGTAAAATGGTTTTTAAAATGTTTGTTTCGCCCTAGTTGGTTTGGCTCAGTGGATAGAGCATTGGCCTGCGGACTGAAGGGTCCCAGGTTCAATTCCGGTCAAGGGCACATGCCCCAGTTGTGGTGCGGGCTCCATCCCCACCCAGTAGGGTATGCACAGGAGGCAGCCAATCAATGATTCTCTCTCATCATTGATGTTTCTCTCTCTCTCCCTCTCCCTTCCTCTCTGAAATCAATTATATATATGTTTTTATTGACTTTTTACAGAGAGGAAGGGAGAGGGATAGAGAGTTAGAAACATCGGTCAGCTGCCTTCTGCACGCCCCCGACTGGGGATCGAGCCTGCAACCAAGGTACATGCCCTCAACCAAAATCAAACCCGAGACCTTTCAGTCCAGAGCCTGACGCTCTATCCACTGAGCCAAACCGGTCAGGGCTAAAAATAAATTTTTTTTTAATATATTTTATTGATTTTTTTACAGAGAGGAAGGGAGAGGGATAGAGAGTTAGAAACATCGATGAGAGAGAAACATCGACCAGCTGCCTCCTGCACGCCTCCCAGTAGGGATGTGCCTGCAACCAAGGTACATGCCCTTGACCGGAATCGAACCTGGGACCCTTCAGTCCGCAGGCCGACGCTCTATCCACTGAGCCAAACTGGTGCTGGCAAAAATACATTTTTAAAAGAAGTTTTGTTTCATACCTTGGCTACCTGCCTAATTTATTATTTTTACTACATTAAAAATATCTCATTTGCTAATGAAGTAGCTAAAGGTTCATAAGTTGAATTTGACTTACTGGTATCTATGCTTAGAATCAGAAATCAAGACCTCTTGATGGTATCTGAATTTTACCGTGGGCCTGTTGTTTAGAGGGATGTTCAGCCCTGGCCAGTGTTGCTCGCTTCATTGGGCGTTGTCCTGTGCACCGAAAGGCTGCTGGTTCCATTCCCAATCGGGGCACATGCCTAGGGAATGGGCTTGATCCCCAGGAAGGGGGCCGTGCAGGAGGCTGCTAATGGATGTTCCACTCTCACATTGATGTTTCTCTTTCTCCCTTCCTCTCTCTGTAAAAATCAATAAAAATATTTTTTTTTAAAAAAGAGATGTTTAGTAAATGATAGTTGAATTTCACTACACCTGATATCTGAGACTTACCTCTGGAAGAGGGTGAGCCCAAGAAAGACCTTGCCGTTTATCAGTGTAGGCGTTCAGCTGGGAAGTGTTCGAGAAAGATGCAGTAAAGTGGAAGAGCTCTGTCCGAATAACTGCATGCGGAGCACTTTGGACAGAGTGCAGTCCCAGTTTAGATAAGGAGGATGCGTTGGAAAGCACTGGGTTTATTTTTAGGCGCGTTTTGTTTGTAAAGCCTGCTTGCAAGGCACTCAGGCCTCCATGCCAAACGTGGATGAGCTGCATCCAAGCTTATCAAGCAAAACTGAACGCAAGACCAGCTGCGGAGGGCAAGGTCCCAAGTGAAGCATCAGAAGCCCAGCAAGAGGAAGAGGCTGGCACCCAGCACCCCAGAACCCCCTTTTCAAATTAAACCCTAAGGAGGAGCGGAGGCACAGAGCAGCAGGTTAGGGACGGGGTCACTGATGGGAGGCCCACTCGGACCTCAGGAAGGAGAGGGACAACCCCACATCCTCCAGAAGACATGGCTGTGAAAGCATCCCCGTCCTGTTTGTCTTTGTACACGTGTGGGCAGGGGCAGTCTCAGATGGCACCTTCTGGAGAACATAAGCGCTTTGGACAAAAGGAAAGACGGGTAATTTGCCAGCTTTACTAACATCCTCCATGAACTTCCTCTTGCATGCTTGCAAATAACTCATGACTAGTGGGTTTATAGGCTTACTGTAACTGGGACACGGTTACCCAAAAGTTGTGGGTGTTAGTGGGCCAGGCCTGTAGGTAGGTCAGGTAAGAGGCTTTCTTTAGCTCAGGTTTTTGCATGTTCTACATATATCTCTGCTGTCTCTCTAGCTCCAGCAAATCTCTCTCTTTCTCTCTCTCTCTCTCTCTCTCTCTCTCTCTCTCTCTCTCTCTATAGTTAGGACCATTGTTTATTAAAATGTAAATCAAATTTAAAAAGCTTCCTGTCTTGCCTGACCGGTTTGGCTCGGTGGATGGAGCGTCGACCTGCGGACTAGGGGGTCCCGGGTTCAATTCCGGTCAGGGGCATGTGCCTTGGTTGCGGGCGCATCCCCAGTGGGGAGTGTGCAGGATCAATGTTTCTAACTCTCTATCTCTCTCCCTTCCTCTCTGTAAAAAAATCAATAAAACAGATTAAAAAAAAAAAAGCTTCCTGTCTTTTGAAGCCCAAGAACAGTGCACAGCACACTGCACGGCCACCCGTTTCACCGCAGTCATTGGTTAAAGTAGCCACAGCTACACAATAATGAGACACCACTTAACACTTGAGTACTTTTAAAACCATTTATTCTATATCCACATGAAAATATAAATAATGGGATTTTAAGTAAAATTCTTGTTACGATATTTTGTTAAAAGGGTTTGTAAAGTGGCATTTTTTTATTCAAAAGCATTTTATTAAAGCTTTATTTCATCGGCTTGGTCTATGTACATTATTAAGATTCTCAGCTGATATTTAATAGCTTTCTATTGAAAATTGCCACTTTTATGTAGTATTACTTTATTGATTTTTCACACCAACCCTATGAGATTAGCACTCAGGTGGGCTATCACCCCATTTTATAGATGAGGAAACACAAATTGGAGTTATACAACTTACTCAAAGGCTTTTTTCTTTCTTTTTTTAAAAAATATATTTTATTGATTTTTTACAGAGAGGAAGGGAGAGGGATAGAGAGTTAGAAACATCAATGAGAGAGAAACATCAATCAGCTGCCTCCTGCACACTCCCCACTGGGGATGTGCCACAACCAAGGTACATGCCCTTGACCAGAATCGAACCCGGGACCCTTGAATCCGCAGGCTGATGCTCTACCCACTGAGCCAAACCGGTTAGGGCATCTTTTTTAAAATATATTTTTATTGATTTCAAAGAGGAAGGGAGAGGGAGAAAGAGATAGAAACATCAATGATGAGTGAGTCATTAATCGGTTGCCTCCTGCATGCCCTACATGGAGCCCACAACCAGGGTATGTGCCTTGATCAGGAATCGAACCCTGACCTCCTGGTTTATAAGTCGATGGACGCTCAACCACTGAGCCATGCCGACTGGGCTTAAGGCCATTTTTAATGTCTATTCACCTATTTCAAAGGAAGACTTGAAAGCAGTAAATAATCCCGAGTGCCCTAGTGGGGCTCGGCTTCTACTGGAGCCCAAGGTCACTCAGAGACGCTGGGACCACCCCCCTTCCCCCACCGCGGACTAGCAGCCTCTGGTTGGAGGCCCAGGGCTCAGACCCGGCCTCTGCTCAGCTGCAGTCCTGCTGCCTGTTTGACAGCTCCTTCTGGCTGTGCGATGGCACCCAAAGCAGAACTTGTGCAGAACTGAGCTCCCAACCCTGCCGCTCCCGGAGTCTTGAAGCAACTCCGGCTTCCCGCTCCACGGACCTAACGCCTCAGTCATCCTTGGATCTTATTTCTCACACCCACAGCCAGTTCTGTCCCTCTGCCTTCAGAATATGCACAGCATCTGACCCTTGCCCCTGCTTGTCAGCACCCACACCTGATGGAAGCCACCAGGTCTCACCTGTGTGACTGCATGAGCCCCTCACTGGTCTGGCCTGCGGCCTGCTCCCCTCCCATCCTCTGTCAACTCAACCCAGATCCTCGCTCAGATCCCTCCAGGGACTGCCTGTCCTCTGTCCCTGCGGCCTCCACACAGCTGCACCGCTCCCATTGCTTCACTGATGTTTCTCCTCCTCCACCCCTTCAGCTGTTCCTTTAAAAGGCCAGGAACATTGGCACATTCCGCCTCAGGGCATTGGTACCTGACCTTATCTGCATGGCTGGCTCCCAGTTGTCACCTTAGCAGGAAGGCCTTGCAGTGACTGTGCTATTTAAAACTGAGCCTCCCTCATGCTCCATCCCTGCTTCCTGCCTTGTTTTTATCCCCAGCACTTCCCTCCATCCAACATGGAGTGTAGCTTACTTGTTAGTATTGTTTATTTTCTCTCCCCGTCCCCACCAGAATGGAAGTTCCTCTGCGTCAGGGACTTTGATTTGTTTTGATCACGGAGGTGTCCCCAACCCCCTAGAAAGCTGCCTGGCACACAGTAAGCATTTAGTACAAATAGCATGAATGGATGCATTTTGGCACATCAGTAAAATATCACATATAAAGGGCTCAATATGTAAATAAATATTGGCTGCTATTGTAATACCTACTTCCTGTACTTTTTAAATACAAGGTTTATAACTGAGTTTCTTGGTAGCCAAGGCAAAAAGGGGACTATCATATTACACAGTTCTCTCCTCAAGAAAGCACCCTCGCTCCAGGGGAAATGCGCGTCTTCCTGCCACAAAGTCCCAGCAGTGGTCTGTCACCCGCACTGCCTGGCAGACTGCCAGCAGGAGCAGCACTGCTTGGCACTCTGCCACCGCCTGGTTGCAGCCATCTCTCTTCTCCTAGCAGGGGCAGGGATGCTGGTTAGGTTACTGCTGCTTAGTCTTACTCTTTCAGGAAGTACTACTTTAAAAGGCTTAACAGAACTTGTTTACAGGAAGTTTATTTTTCAAAATGCAAGTCAGCGTTTGCATCACAGGGTAACCCGCTAGAGAATCCATTTTCTCCATTGCAGCACCATTAACCTTTATATTTTGAAGATGGTTACTTAAAAAGGCTCTCACTGTTAAATTCACCAAAGGGGAATAATATATCAGTTTATTTCATTTATTTCATGTGTCTGCTTTAAAGTCTTATGACTTAATCTGTGTGTGTTTTTTTAAATATATTTTTATTGATTTCAGAGATGAAGGGAAAGGGAGAGGGATAGAAACATCAATGATGAGAGAATCACTAATCAGCTGCCTCCTGCACGCCCCACACTGGGGGTGGAGCCCACAACCCGGGCATGTGCCCTGACCGGAATTGAACCTTGACCTCCTGGTTCATAGGTCAACACTCAACCCCTGAGCCATGCCAGCCAGGCTTTTTTAAAAAAAATCAGAGCTCCTATTTTTTCCATCACTCAGGTAATTTTTTACTCAGGTGCCTTTTTGATCTGAAAAGTAATATATTAGTGATCCAGTCTATGTTATAAAAATAAAACTGAGTGTTCAGGTGAGATCTTTGTCTTGGATCGTGGTCTACAACCAGTGAAGATGAAATGCTCCAAATAAGGCCCCGTTTCTCTCTGCATTTCTGCCTAAGTGACAGTTCCTATGACTGTGGGAAAATCGGCCTGGGTCCTGCTGCTGTATTTTGAGGTGAAGTGTACCGTTTATAGTAGGCACTTGATTGTTCCAGAAGAGTTTTGTACACAGCCAGCAAGGGTAGACGTTTGAATTATGTAATAGGTTTGGCTTCGTGCCCACTGTTAATGTGCGTCACTATGGCGACAGCCTGCCCCGTTCTGAAAAGGCCCTGGTCACTTGAGGACTGGTGTTCCCTGCTGCATTATAGATGCGAGGCTCGGGCTTCCTGGAGCCAGAGAGTCCCGGAATTGTGTTTAAATGACCCCTGGGCTGGCCGCACAGTGTTCATTAATGGGAACCACAGATAGAATCTAAACTTGAAACATTTTGGGTATTCTGACCATTTGACAGTCTTACATAAGGTGTAGATCACTTGCAGGTGTTATATAAGAAAAGATTTTGTTCAGAGAGCTTAGCTTTTTAAATCAGGCCTGTTGTAAGAAAGATAGAAGTCAAGTATTTAAAATTGAAAAAACTAATTCTCACGCCTCTGCTAAGGGCCCAGTGGCTTGTTTTTGGCTAGTGTGAAAACTCCCTGCAACTCCATGACCTTCATCTGGGGGTTTGATTTACAGAACCTAACAACTGCCTTTACCCGGCCCTTGTTCCCGTAACATTGGGCTGTAATCATGAGTTCAGTATTTTTATAACCTATGGCTTGCCTATAACTTATTTTTATTAAAGAATTTTTTTCTGAAATAATTTCAAACTTGTAGAAAAGTTACAGGAATGGTACCAGTAACTTGCTGTCCTCTTGATCTTGAGTCACAGATTTTTAACATATTGCCACATTTGTGTTGGCATTTTGTCCTGTATACATCCATATTTTTTCTGAACCATTTGAAAATAGGTTCACATTGTGCCCCTTTCCCTTAATTCTTCAGAATTTATTTCCTAAGAATAAAGGTATTATCTTAAAACCACAGCGGTTTTCAAATTCAAGAAATTTAATACTGATATACTATTTTTTGTTGTTGCTATTGTTAATCCTCACCTGAGGATATTTTTTCAGAGAGAGAGGGAGAGACAGAGGGAGTGTGTGTGTGTGTGTGTGTGTGTGTGTGTGTGTGTGTGTATTGAGGGGGGGGGGGAGGTGTCAGGTGGAGAGACAAATCAATGTGAGAGAGACACATCGACTGGTTGCCTCCCGCACGCAACCCTACCAGGGTCAGCGAGTGAACCCGCAACCCAGGTATATGCCTTTGACTGGGAATTGAACCTGAGACCCTTTGGTGTGTGGGCCAACACTCTAACCACTGAGCGACACCGGCCAGGGCTTGATATATTCTTTCTTTTTTTTTAAATTGTTTTATTGCTTAAAGTATTACAAAGGGTATTACATATGTCTCCTTTTTTCCCCCTGCCCTTGACAATCCCCTGGCCTCCCCTAGATATACTGCTTTTTTAACTCATCTGCAGTCTATATTTCACTTTTCTCAGTTATCTTTTGTAAATGATTGATTTACCACAAGAACTAAATTTTGTTTAAAATTCTGTTCCTGCTGATCTCTGTCTTTTTTAGTGAGCCTTTCTTTCTTTTTCTCCCTGCAGGGTTTTTTAAACAGCTTACTAATATGTAATTCACATACAACTTACCCATGTAAAGCAGACAATTGACTGTTTTTAGCATGTTCACATAGTTTTGCGCAACTGTCACAACAATGTGATTTTAAAACATGTCATTCCCCTCAGAAGGCCCTCACCCATTTGCAGTCACTCCCCATTCCCCACCCCAAGTCCCAGCTCTAGGCAATCAACCACTAACCTACCTCCTGTCTCTAGGGGTGTCTCCTCTGGACTTTGCATATAAATGAAATCATGCAGTGTGTTTATGGCCTTGTGTCTGGCTTCTTTCCCTTGTAGTTACTGTCGAATAACATTCCATTATTATGGCTGGGTCTTATTTTAAATACATTGCTTTGACCTTGCCCTTATGCGATGAAAAGAGAAAAGAAATCTACTGTCCTTTAGTGAGATATGCCTCCCTGGTTGTCTAGTGTGTCCAACAAAGTACCTTTATGTGACACGTAGGGTGGCCAGAGGGTTTATTCTGGACCACACAAACAACAGTCTGTCTTGGGATCACTTAAAGCAGGGGTGGGGAACCTTTTCTGCCAAGGGCCATTTGGATATAACGACATTCGTGGGCCATACAAAATTACCAACTTAAAAATTAGCCTGCTATATTGGGTCAAACATTTAATTAACTCACCCCTGGTGCCTTTGCAGGGCCAGACCAAATGATTTCACCCGTGGGCCAGACATTCCCCACCCCTAACTTAAAGGGTCTGAGTTTCTACCTGCCAGCAAGGAAAATATTTTATGATTAGAAAATATAACTATTGTCTCCCTAATATTTTGTAGTGTAGTAGCTTTATTGAGATATTATTCAGAAGCATACAATTTGTCCTCCTAAAGTATACAGTTGAGTGGGTTTTAGTATATTTAGAGTTACATGACCATCACCATATCTTCATTCTAAAACAATTTCATCACACCAGGAAGAAACACGTACCCATGAGCAGTCATTCCCCATTCCTCCTCCGCCATCCCCTGGCAACCACCCATCTATTTTGTCTCTCTATAGATAAGTATTTCATTCTTTTGATGCTGCTGTAAATGGAATAGCTGTTTATTCCCATTCTTAGATTATTCATTGCTTCTGTGTAGACCTACAATTGTTTGGGCATTTTTTTTGTGTGTGTGTACATTGATCTTGTTTCCTACAACCTTGCTGAACTAGTTTATTATAGTAACTGTTAGTGGATTCTTTAGTATTTCTATATATAATATGTTTGTGAGTAGAGATAGATTACTTTCCAATCTAGATACCTTTTATTTCTTTTTTTCTTGTCTAATTGCTAGCCTGCTGCTTTTTAAGAAAGCTCTTAAAGGTATAAATATTCTTTCTCATCAAGCAATTGAACTATTTTATAAACATCAAAAAACATGGAGAGGAGAGGCTAGGAATCTAGATCATGAAAATTACACTGCTCTGAGGAAGGAAAGAACAGGAGCGAAAACTACAACTGGAGAAAACTTGTAATCCAGCATGCCAAGGACTAAAACATCAGCTTAAGCTCTTTTGCACCAAAAATTTTAGGTTCGTTTTGGAAACCTTTTCTCTGTGTGAAAAGTCGAAGTTGGTAGAGTTAGAATTGACAGGATTCATTTCATTGTTAGTTTAATAGGAATATCGTTTCCATGAAGTGAAAGATGTCTTTTTATCTTACCTTCAGTGTCATAATGAAGGTAAAACAGTATATAAACTCTTGAAAACAATGTGATTATTTCTGAGCTTGGCCACCTTAGAATGCTGTCACATTGGAAGTACTAATTACCAAGTAAATTCTCAGAAAAGGAGATTGAATTAGGACTCTAATTTAACAATGTAAATTCTCTTGGATACCATGAAAACCGAGCCATTGAAAAGAGTAAATTTGCCCAGTCGGAGTGGCTCAGTGGTTGAGCACTGACCTGAATCAGGAGGCCACAGTTCGATTCCCCGTCAGTACACATGCCAGGGTTGGGGGCTCGATTCCCAGTGCAGGAAGCAACTGGCAAGGATTCTCTCTCATCATTGATGTTTCTCTTTCCCTCTCCTTTCCTCTCTGAAATCAATAAAAATACATTTTTTTTTAAAAAAAGAAAAAGAATAAACTTAACTAACTTAAAGAATTATGTTGCAGTGGGGAATATGCTTCTAAAGAATGTTCTAATGCTTTTAGGATTTTCTTAGTCACTGTTGATCAGAAACTATATTTAACAGTTATTTTTTAAAGCATGTTGGCAAGTATATGGAAAAATTGGAGCCCATGTGTGTTGTTGATAGGAATGTAAAATGGTGCAGCTGCTGTGGTTGATAGTATGGCCAATTCTCAAAAAATTAAGCCTAGAATTACCATATGATCCAGCAATTCCATTTCTGGATATAGAGACTTGAATAGATATTTGGACATTTATGTCAGCATTTTTCCCAGTAGCCAAAAGGTGGGAAGCAACCCAAGTGTCGATTGACAGATAAATAGATAAACAAAATGTGGCCCATTTATAGAATGGAATGTTATTCAGTTTTTAAAAAGAAGGAAATTCTGACACCTACTGCATCATGGGCGAACCTTGAGCCATTATGCTAAGTGAAATGTGCCAGTCGCAAAAGAACAAATACCGTGTGATTCCATGAGGCCCTAAAGCAGTCAGGTTCATAGAGACAGGAAGTAGAATGGTGGGTGCCCAGCGCTGGGGGAGGGGCGGCATGGAGGGTTGGTGTTCAGTGGGTATGGAATTTTAGTTGAGAAGATGAAAAAGTTCTAGAGGCAGATGCTGGCGATGGTTGCACAACAGTGTGAATGCACTTAATGCCCCTGAACTGTACATTTAAAAATGGTTAAAATGGTAAAAATTTATGTTACATATATGTTACCACAGTGAAAAACATTAAAAAGAAAAAGGCACAGTATTCTCTTTGGACTTGAGGTACAAGGCTTTTCCATCCCGCCCATGAAATTACTACCCTTTTCCATTCCTTATATCTGTTTAGGGCTTGCCCACAATAAGTAAAAATCTAGAAGATGGGGTTACTATAAATAAGGCGTAAATCCAGAAGAAGTCCCATCCAAAGAACTCTGAACGTGTTTCTCAGGGGACCTTGTTAGAGTGTCAGCCCCTGTGTCAGCCCCTTCGCCAGTGCTCGTTGTCCCTACGGGGTCTCCTCGTACAAACCTTGGGTGTCTTGCTCCTGCGTGAACAAGGAAAAAGCTTCTTGCAAACATGTCAGACTGATGCTGCCGAAGCGCGGATTTTCACTGTTACTGCAGCTGTGTTCTTCAGCCTCCCGATTCTGTGTTGTAATATAATCGTAAATTAGCCTGGGGTCTTGTAAACAATCTATTAATCTTTTTAAAAAATTTTTAATATTTTTATTGATTTCAGAGAGGAAGGGAAGAGAGAGAAACATCAATGATGAGAGAGAATCATTGATCGGCTGCTTCCTGCACACCCCGACTGGGGTCAAGCCTGCAACCCGGGCATGTGCCCTGACTGGGAATCAAACTGTGACCTCTTGGTTCATAGGTGGACACTCAGCCACCAAACCACGTCAGCCGTGCAACAACCTATTATTCTTTATGCAAGGCGCTAACGGAAGGCTGACACTTGCTTTGCATAGACCTTGCCTAAGGATTTTAAAGCTGGATCTTTTTTGTATTATTCAGGTCGATCTTGGAGAAGGAGGGACCAAAGTCACTTTTTAGAGGCTTGGGTCCAAATTTGGTTGGAGTTGCACCGTCAAGGTAAGCATTGAACTTTGAGCTGGCTCCCTTCATACGGATGTAATGTCCTGAGTCCTTTCCCACGGAAGGGCTGGACTGCTAGGTGGCCAGTCTCTTCTGTGCAGGATTTGCCTAAACCTGACAAAAGGGAATAGTGAGAACTGTTGGTGTGTCTTTAGTGGATGGTGAGAAAGAGATTCTAGTTATTGTACTGAGTTGTAAACGAGTCTGCTCTCATCCCTGGATCTTCTCTAAGTGAGTGTTTGTGGTCAGCAGCATTGCCCCTTCCCCAATCACATGCTCATTTTGGTGTGAGGCAGGATGAGTGTGGTATATTTTAGAAATACTACAAATTTTAAATGTTACAGAATATGTTGGTGCTCAAAGGATTGGCACCAACAGAATGAAGACTATAAATGGGACTTTGCATGTATATTACCAAAGTCTCATTTTCCTCCGTTATGTTGGACTCTTCCCTCCACCGTATACTCTCTGGGGGGCGAGCAGGACCTTCTGAAGGCGCCTGCAGCAGGTTTGGGTTTAGCACGGATGAGGCCGAGCTTTTGTTCGTGGGAACTTCTCGCCCGTATTATTTACCTGACGTTTCAGAGGTTGCGGAGGGACATCCTATTGGCAGTGCGTGCCGGTGTCTTACCGCGCTCTCCCTTTGTTCTGACAGGGCTGTGTACTTTGCATGTTACTCCAAAGCCAAAGAGCAGTTCAATGGCATTTTCGTGCCTAACAGCAACATTGTGCACATTTTCTCAGCTGGCTCTGCAGGTACGTTACCCCTTACCCGTGGGTGGAGAAAGCATGTGTTGTGCCCAGCAGCCTTTTCTCGGAATTAGAAATGAGCTCTCTGCCTCTTTTCCATCTGAAATCATTTTTCTAACGCTTTATGTTAGAGCCGATAAAACAGTGTGTTTAAGATCAGTTTGTAACCTATTCCTATCTCTTTGGCCACTAAAGCTTTTTGTTCTGCCTCAACATGTACATGTCCCACGTATGCTAGTTGGGTGCAGTGCTTCTTTCCAAGGAATTTTCATGTGCTTTTCAGGTCTGTTTCATGACATTGTTTTCTAAAGTTCAAGCTCCTTTTCTCATGACTCCTGGTGCCCAGCACACCCTGTGCACAGCTGGCATTTTGTCGTAATCACTGGGCTCTAGGATGAGGTCGGGGCTGGTGGGCTTTTAGTGGGACCGGAACAGGCCAGAGAGCGCTCCCCATGAGGGAGTCATCCTACTCACTATAGGAAACTTAGAACAGGGTTTCCCCCCAGGAAATGCGTGGCCAAAAGAGCATGGACTTGTAGATTGCGGAGAGAAGGCCATGCCTTACAGATTTATGTTTATGTCTATTTAACTAGAAAGGTATTTTAGAGAACTTAAATTGGCATTTTATAAAGAATTTCCGCCTCTGCCAGCCTGTAAGTGTATGCACCTCTCTACTCAAATAAAGCACCAGCAGCCCCTCTGAGGAGTTACAGAGGATGCTCTGGACCCCTCAGAACCACTGTTAAACAAGAAAGGCGTGTGCTGAGTGCGGAGCTCCGAGGAGCCTGCACTTTGAGGCCGATAGGGGTTGGCTGTAACCTAAACGCTGGTTATCAGGCTTAGAAGAACCCTCAGTACCTAAAGCAAACCTGCGGCAGTCTTTCAGCCTCACCCCGGTTCCTCTGTCTGACTGCTGTGCCCGGGACTGGGGAGGGCGAGGTCACAGGAGGGTCGCTGGCTGGTGCCTGACTCTGCTCCGCTCTGTTGCTCCGGAGTGACGGGCAGTGTTGAGATGGGGAGACTCACCAACAAATGGTTCTTGTAAGACACAGATCAATGGTAAACCTTCACTTTCCTGAAACATCAGTGGGTATTAAATGTCTGCCTTTGGATTCAGTTACTTGGAGATTTAGTTCCTTTTATTTGAAGTTTGATATAAGGCAACCTTTTGGATTAAGACAGCAACTTCCCTTAAAAACAAATTGTTTCTGGATCTGATGCTTATAAATTGAGTTGTAGAGTGGTTTATGTTTACCATGGGCATCACATTGACAGAAATACCAACAGCACCACCTACAGGCTGGACACCCTAGGCAGGGCTCCAGAAGTTGGAGAGACTTTAGGTCCAGCATGCCAGTAGAAGCTACACTTCAGGGACTGGAGCTTCCTGTGCGATACAGAATGTCCTGCTTCCTACTCTCCATTTTTACTATGAAACCATGGAAAGCCTGATTTCAGATGGAATAGACAGCTTTAATCAGCATTGACTGTGTTCAGTGATGACATTTTCTGGTGTGTTTTTTCTTCCAGCTTTTGTCACAAATTCCCTAATGAATCCTATATGGATGGTTAAAACCCGGATGCAGCTAGAACGGAAGTAAGTTATTAATTGTTGCTTCCTTAACATAAGAATTCTTGGGGATATTTCTCCCCCAGCTCCCTGTGGGGTGCAGTACACAGTCTTGTTCTTTCTGAATGTGAGCATACAGCAGCTCCTTTTGCTTGGAGAGTCATGCTGTCAAGCATTGTCATTTTCTCTCCAAGGCCCTCGGACTCTGGTTTCTGCCTGAAACTCGTTGCAGCCTGCAGATTCCTTTGGTGGTCCGGTGAAGTCTGCAGGCCCTTTTTAGAATAGTAGAAGCCATGGACCAGTTGCTGAAATGCAGTTATTAATGTTTTTTAAAATTACGATATAGTAATATACCTACTTAATATATTAAGTCAAGCCGTGGCCCACTAACTACTGTGATTTCAGAGGAGTAGTGATGGTAAGTGAGGTTTGTGATAGGATTCGATCTAAGAGCCCTGTGTAACTGTATGGGGCACTGGAAACTTCCAGCTCATCCAGTCCAACTTAAGCTCCTAGAAAGGACAGAGGAGAGAGCAGGAACCCTGCAAGTGCAGGGGGGCTGCTGTGGCTGTTCCCCCTCTCCAGTGACCACAGTAGCCTCGATATTGGCCTTTGACTCCACATTTCCCCGTCCCATCCTGCCTGAAAGAACCTTCTGAGATGCAGCAGTTCTAATAATTTTGAACATATCATTTGCTTAGAATCCTTTGATGAATCTCGATTACCTCAGGGTTGAGAGCGCCCTCACACTCCCCTCCCTGCCGAAGGCTGGCGGGTTTTCCTTCAGTGCCGTCTTAAAACACATCTGCATCGTAACTGTAACTGCCTCTCATACCAGCTAGTCCGCCTTCCCCAGCACTGCCCGCCTCCTGCCTGCACAGCACTTCCTCTCTGGCCCGGTGCCCAGTTTACCTCTCTACGCCTCTAGGTGTTTGGACGGACTTGATCATGTTGGTTAGATTTTCTCTGAGGAATGTCTTCCTCCACAAAGCTCTTTCCAAACTCGGGCCAGAGGCTGTGAGCGTGTTCTTGTGACTCTTGTACGGGCGCACATTCTCTGTGGGCCGGCTGGGTGGCCCAGCCCGTGGACCTGGGCGCACATTCTCTGTGGGCCGGCTGGGTGGCCCAGCCCGTGGACCTGGGCGCACATTCTCTGTGGGCCGGCCGGGTGGCCCAGCCCGTGGACCTGGGTGCACATTCTCTGTGGGCCGGGCACAGCTGCCCTCCGTGCGGGGAGGACACTTGTCGCCCAGTGATTGCCTTCCATCCGGCGAGTGTCTGTGGAGCCCGCTCACTCATGGTCTGATGGCCTGTCCTTGGTCTCTGTCACAGGGTGCGCGGCTGCAAGCAGATGAACACGCTCCAGTGCGCGCGCCACGTGTACCAGACGGAAGGCATTCGTGGCTTCTATCGGGGATTAACTGCCTCGTATGCGGGGATCTCAGAAACTGTCATCTGCTTTGCTATTTATGAAAGTCTGAAGAAGTATCTGAAGGACGCGCCATTCACCCCCTCTGCAAATGGGACTGAGAAGAATTCCGCAAGTTTTTTTGGACTCATGGCAGCTGCTGCTGTGTCTAAGGGATGTGCCTCGTGTATCGCCTATCCTCACGGTACGTGCCCTCTTCTCCCAGAGCAGTGACAGCTGTCGGGTTGTGCCATTTGTCAGTGTGCCTGGACCCTGGAGCCGACTGAAGTGCACATGCCTGCAGGTAGTGAGGGACCCGAGCCCAGTGGGCCTGGCCTCCCCCACGCCCCTCGGCGTGTGTGTGTGTGTGTGTGTGTGTGTGTTTTGCAGGGACTCAGTGTCACTCAACCCCAGTTACCAAAACTTGCTGTGCAGAACGTGGGCCTGTGTTGTAGAACTTCTGATGTTTTCAAGAAGCCAAAAATCTGGATTTTCCAAAAATCTGGATTTTATCCTTGACTTAAAAAAAAAAAAATGACAAAGGGGCCAAACTTAAAATCTCTCAGCTTCCACTTTGAATTTTATTTTCCACTTAAAGTTTATTTTTTAAGTTTATTTATTTAAAATGTATTTTATTGATTTCAGAGAGGAATGGAGAGAGAGGGAGAGATAGAAACATCAATGATGAGAGAGAATCATTGAGTGGCTGCCGGGACTGAGCCTGTAATCCAGGCATGTGCCCTTGACCGGAATTGAACCGGGGACCCTTCAGTCCGCAGGCCAATGCTGTATCCACTGAACCAAACCAGCTAGGGCTTTTAAGTTTATTTTTAAAAAGAATGATAGGCCTACTGTCCTTCTGAGCTACTATTAAAGTAATAGCTTTGTTTATTGTGCCATGAAAAACCAGCCTTGCTTTCAAAAGCCTGCTGTGCTGTCAGCTGTGCAAGTGCACGTGGTGAGCTCGGTAACGGATGGCGGAGTCCCGGTGTGTGCCGGGCATGGCGGCCTCGGGACTCATGAGGAAGAGGCGGACGGCTGCCTGGGAGGAGACAGGGTGGCAGAGGTCTGCTCGGCAGGCGGTGACAGGCAGTGTCATGTTGTGGGCACCCAGGTGAGGCAGGGCCAGGTGGGCCAAGGTTTGGAAAAGGAGGAGGCAGCGTTTAAGCTGGACAGAGCAGAGGAGGACTCTAGGAGGAGAAAGTTGGGGAGTACATGAAAAGAAAGTCCTGTGGAAGATATTTCCATACTTAATACAAATGCCACTTTCGGTGAAATTACAGCATTTACTTAATTGGAGTAGAAAACTATAAACTATCTTAAAATCAAGTCCCACTCTAAGCTTTTTTTGTTTTGTTTTGTTTTGGTTTTTTTTGTTTTTGTTTTTTTTAAGAGAGTAGGGGGAAGGGAGGAGAGAGAGAGAAAGAAACATCAGTTTGTTGATCCACCTACTTATGCATTCATTGGTTGCTTCCTATATGTGCCCAGACCGGGATCAAACCCGCAACCTTGGCATATCATGACGACACTAACCAACTGAGCTACCCGGCCAGGGCATCTCTTGAGATCTTAACATAGTTTATTATTTTAGGTGGCACGTGGGCAGAGGTATACGTTGATAATTATAAAGCTGTGTGCTTTGAATTCTCCTCGTATCACCCGGAAATGCCATTTATCTGTCACATAAAGCGTGTGTTTCTCTCCGCAGAAGTGATCAGGACGCGGCTGCGGGAGGAGGGCACCAAGTACAAGTCTTTTGTCCAGACCGCTCGGCTGGTCTTCCGGGAAGAGGGCTACCTTGCCTTCTATAGAGGACTCTTCGCCCAGCTCATCCGGCAGATCCCAAACACGGCCATTGTGCTGTCCACCTATGAGCTAATTGTGTACCTGTTGGAAGACCGTCCTCAGTAACAGGCCCGAAACTTGTGCTCCGGAAGAATAAAACTGAAAAACTCGATACAGAATTTTTTTTTCCCATTGATGTTTAGAATGTTCGAGGCCAATACAGGAAAGGCCATATAATATGTGGCTCAGTCACCTGTTGGACATTTCCTTTTGGATTCATGTTTTCTGGAAGGTTTAAATTCATTAACGTTAATAGTTAATTTTAACTTTCGTTGTTGTTTTTTTAATTTAAGAGGATTCAGGATTAAGCAGCAAGTAAATTAAATCATGCTATTTAATTTAAGTATAACATTGGTTTTTGTGCTCTTTCACTTCACGGTACTGCAAACATAGGATGGTAACGCTAGAAACACAGACCACCGCTAAAGTCAAAGTGCACGTGTTTTCTAATCTGAATGTCAAATCTCGCGGCAGGTAGGGGGTGACACCTGTCGGTGACACGTGTCGGTGACACGGGCTGACCAGAGCAGATTGCCCAGCTGTTTTCTCTTTGTACATTCCAAGTCTCATACAGATTGATACTCCCAAGTTTTCAGGCTGCTGAGTTTTAAAAAACAACTTTCTGACATTAAATATTTTAAACTATATACATTTTCCTGAAGTCATCCACTATCCCCAGTTTGCACCAAATGTGAGAGTTTCAAAGAACTGTTTACCAGTGGCCTCGCTCCTGGATGTGTTTCCGGAAGTCAAACCCAGTCAAGCCCAGGTGCTTTGCAGGTGTGTCAGAGCGCGGCCGGCCATGGGCGGGAATGTGGGCAGCGATGCAGTCCGTAAGGGGGTGAGCCCTATTCTCGGTCCCCGCTCCTGGGACCAAGGCTGATTGCCGGCTCCTTGAAGACGTAGCTCACTTTTATTGTGCCCGGAAATGGTGGTGGTGCTTAAATACCCTAGTTCAAAAAAATATTTTTTAAATCTAGACATGAGAAATTACCAGAATTATAAGCCCATCCTCCCATCTTATAAGGAAGTTTAATAAGGGACATTGTCTCCCGTTAGCTCTCTCACTGGGCTTTGCTGAACATTGGGTTCGTTTTCAGTCTGAATGTCTAGAAAGATAGCACTCTAATAACCGATGCACGGAGCTTCCGATTCAGGGATGAGAGGCGGATGGTTTCTAATTGTATTTAGTTGAGTTTATTTTGTTTCCCTTGAGTCATGAAGGAAGTTTGTCGGTGGTGTTGAGCTCCCTAGTATAATTCAACTGTCAACAATTACGCATGTTTCATGCTTCCAAAATACATGACAGTAAAGAGATTTCTATTCCAGAACCTCATTTTAACGACTGTTTAATAGTGGCATTTATCAACATCTTTGTTTGAATATTCATATTAAAACCTGAATTTTTCCTCAAGATTTTATCTAATATGAACATTAAAAATTAGATTGCTTAGCCACAGCTGGTTTGGCTCGGTGGATGGAGCGTCAGCCTGCGGACTGCAGGGTTCCGGGTTCGATTCCGGTCGAGGGCATGTGCCTTGATTTCGGGCACATCCCCAGTGGGGAGTGTGCAGGGAGCAGCTGATCGATGTTTCTCTCCCATTGATGTTTCTAGCTCTCTGTCCCTCTCCCTTCCTCTCTGTAAAAATCAATAAAATATATATTTTTTAAAAAATTAGATTGCTTAATATTCACTAAACTAGGTAAGAGAATTATTTCAAAATAATTTTCACTAACATTCTTGAATTAATAAATTTGATGTTGACCTAGTACAAGTTAGTTCTCTGCTTGCTTCGGCCCCGAACGCTGAAATGCAAGAAACTCAGCCCCAAAGGTAGGATGAGAATAGGCAGGAAAAAGGGATGCTTCCTCTATAAAGGGGCTTGTTGGATTTTTATTTCATTTACTTTTTTAAAATATATTTTTATTGATTTCAGAAGAGAGGGAGAGAGAGAAACATCAATGGTGAGAGAGAATCATTGATCACCTGCCTCCTGCACGCCCCACTCTGGGGATGGAGCCCGCAAAGCAGGCATGTGCCCTGACCGGAAATCGAATCATGACCTCCAGGTTCATAGGTGGACACTCAACCACTGAGCCATGGCGGCTGGGCAATTTATCTTTCTATCCTCACCCAAGGAGTAAGAAATGTGTTCTCCATTGGTCTTTCAGAGAGATTGGAAGGGAGAGGAGGGGATAGAGAGGAAAACATCCATGTGAGAGAGACATCGATTGGTTGGCTCCCGCACACACCCCAAGGGGAAGGATTAACCTGCAACCCAGGTACTTGCCCCTGATTGCCCCTGATGGGGGAATCAAACCCTTGACCCTATGGTATGCAGGCCAACACACCAACCACTGAGCCAGGCTGGTCAAAGCGGGATTTTTTTTTTTTTTTTTTTTTTTTTTTACAGAGAGGAAGGGAGAGGGATAGAGAGAAACATTGACGAGAAACATCGATCAGCTGCCTCCTGTACACCCCCCACTGGGGATATGCCCCAACCACGGTACATGCCCTTGACCGGAATCGAACCCAGGACCCTTCAGTCCGCATGCCGACGCTCTATCCACTGAGCCAAACCGGTCAGGGCAAAGCTGGATTTTTTTAAGTAATTTTTATTGATTTCAGAGAAGAAGGGAGAGAAAGATAGAAAAATCAGTGATGAGAGAGAATCATTGACCAGCTGCCTCCTGCACGCCCCCCATTGGGGATTGAGCCTGCAACCCAGGCATGTGCTCTGACCAGGAATCGAACTGACCTCCTGGTTCATAGGTCAACACTCAACCACAGCCACATCAGCTGGGCCAGGGCTGGATTTTTAAATCGAAAATGTCACTGAACTGTTAATGGAGAAATCCCTTGATTTATTTCTCCTCTACAAGCTTAGTCATTGGAATTTTATTATTTTTAAGCAATCTATAATAATAAAAGCATAATATGCAAATCGACCGAACGGCTGAACAGCAGATGACCTTCTGGACAAAGCCGGGGCTGCCAGGACCTACTCTTGCACGAATTTCATGCATTGGGCCTCTAGTATATTTATAAAAGACAACCCTTATTGCTTACCCAGTGTGTGCCAAGCACTGCAAAATGTTGTGTATTTTCTCATTTAAATTTGTTCTGACAACCTTGTGAGACAAGTATTATCATCCACATTTTACAAATAAGGCTCAGAGGTTCACACGACTTGCTTGAGGTCTCGGAGGTGGTGAGTAATAAGCTGACAAGTAGTAGGTCTGACTGCTAGTCCAGTAGATGAATGCAAAGCAGCGGGGGCATCTGAGCCTGTGGAACGACCTGACTGAAGCCAAGTTCCAGCAAAGCATTCCGTCCAGTTCCCGTGTCCACAGGCGTTAGCCCCGAAGAGCTGCACCTGCACCATAGTGCCCAGGACAGAGCCCTTCCTGTGAGTGGGATCCTCTGCAGACGCTGGCTCCTCCTCGGGAAGAGAGTGCTGCACGCGGAGAGGGCAGCTTCATGCTGTTCGTTCCTTCCTCTGTGCGCTCCAGGCTGGTGCAAGCAGCGAGACTGCAACCTGAGGCCTTTGCTCTGACACCCACTCCCAAGAACGGGGAGCTCCCATTGCAGACTCTAATCAGCCCCAGGTTTCCTGTGGGCTCCCTCCCCTCCCCACAGGCAGCTCTTTAATGCACAGAACTAGGGTGTGGGACAGATGAACTGGCCACAGGAAACCCTCAACCCACCACTGTCCACAACTAAACTGTAATGACCCCCCAAACACTGGAAAAGTTGTGGGGACAGTGAAACGTAATTAAGTACGAATATTTCCTACTTGTTTCTTTTTAGTTATGAGTGATTTAATGAAAATCCATAATGCTAAAGAAAAATATGCATCTTCCCCACTAATTCCACCTGGAGGCAACTGCAGTTCGTTTACCCATCTTCTACTTCCTACAAGCATACACATATTATAGGGCTTATTTAGTTAAACCGGATATTATTAAAACTAATGTGCATGTTGCTCTTCCTGAACAGTGTATCACCCATCCCTGCAGGCCAACACCTGTGTTCAGATGTATCGTCGCTATCTTTCTATAAACATAATCATGTTTCTATAAATTATTTGGACCGTTGGAGTGGCTTCAGTGGAAGTGGCTTAAGGAACTGCAACTTGCAGCAAACCGCACTGCGCGCTGCGGCCGGTTTGGCCCAGGCGTTGGGAGGCCGGACCAGCGGGAGCAAAGCCTTCCCAGTGGTCAGTAGCCCGACGTGCGGGAGGGGCCTGACGAGCGCGGGAGCGGAGTGCACCGGACAAGGCTCCGCGCCGCCTCCCACCTCCGGCCGCCAGAGGGCACTGTCGGGCCGCCGCCGCTTCCCCCGGCGCCCCGCCCATCGGGCTCGTCCCACTCCCCGATTGGCTGCGCGGCGGGAGCGCGCCGAGTCAAGGGGCGGGCCCGCGCCCGCTACAAAGCGACGGAGGTCACGGCGCGAGGAGGTGCGCGCCGCCGCCGCCCGGTAATCCGCTCGCGGCCCTCGGCGTCGCCGCCTCTGCCCACCGCCGGCCGCGGGGGACCCATGGAGGGAGTGAGCGCGCTGCTGGCCCGCTGCCCCACCGCAGGCCTGGCCGGCGGCCTGGGGATCACGGCGTGCGCCGCGGCCGGCGTGCTGCTCTACCGGATCGCGCGGAGGTGAGTGCGCGGGCCCGTGTGGCCTCTGCCCCCGCCCCCGCCCCCGCCCTCCGCACGCGGCCTTCCCGCCTCGGCGGTTCCGGGCCGCACGGCGCCTCCCTGCCCGTGCCCGGCGAGGCCGCGGCTTTGCGTGGGGCCAGGCCTTGTGCCCACGTGCTGAGACCCGCTCTGCACGCCCCCACCCCCCAAAAGAAGATCGGAAGCGGCCGAGAAATGGGTTGGGGACTCCAGGAATGCGGGGTGGGCGCGCGCAGCCCGCACGTGGGTTATAAACTTCCCTCTCCAAGGAGATCTGTGCTGGGAGCCGCAGGATCTGCAAGGCCCCCCCAACCCCCACCACCACACCCCCGGGGCCCCCAGCCCTGCGGGAGACCTCAGCGGGGATCCGACCGCTCTGACTGCTTTCCGCCCTCATCCCGGCTCCCAGGTCCCCGAGAGCAGGCGGGGGTGGCCTGGTCGTAGGTGGCACTTTCTGGTCCGCTCCAGTCTCAGGTCTAATCTCACGTTGGCCCATTGCAGTCCCCCGGCCCCTGCTCCCCCCAGAGAAGCTGCGGGGCAGGAGGACTGAGTAAGCCGGTAACTAGAGGAGTCAGGGTGGTCCGACCCTGAGGCCAGCATCCCCAACCCCTGGTCCAGGCCCCCCACCCCACCCCCAGCCCTGGCCAGGCTCAAAGACCGTGCCAACCCCCATTC